GTTGAGCCAATCAAGAAAGTAGAAGAAGTCGTTTCTGAAACGAAACATGAAGAAGAACCTACTGTTGAGAAGCCAATTTCGCCAGTCGAAGAAGCTAAGCCTGTCGATGTTGAGCCAATCAAGAAAGTAGAAGAAGTCGTTTCTGAAACGAAACATGACGAAGAACCTACTGTTGAGAAGCCAATTTTGCCAGTCGAAGAAGCTAAGCCTGTCGATGTTGAGCCAATCAAGAAAGTAGAAGAAATCGTTACTGAAATCAAACATGTCGAAGAATCTACTGTTGAGAAGCCAATTTCGCCAGTCGAAGAAGCAAAGCCTGTCGATGTTGAGCCAATTGAGAAAGTAGAAGAAGTCATTACTGAAACAAAACATGACGAAGAATCTACTATTGAGAAGCCAATTTCGCCAGTCGAAGAAGCTAAGCCTGTTGATGTTGAGCCAATCAAGAAAGTAGAAGAAATCGTTACTGAATTCAAACATGTCGAAGAATCTACTGTTGTGAAGCCAATTTCGCCAGTCGAAGAAGCTAAGCCTGTCGATGTTGAGCCAATCAAGAAAGTAGAAGAAGTCGTTTCTGAAACGAAACATGACGAAGAACCTACTGTTGAGAAGCCAATTTCGCCAGTCGAAGAAGCTAAGCCTGTCGATGTTGAGCCAATCAAGAAAGTAGAAGAAGTCGTTTCTGAAACGAAACATGACGAAGAACCTACTGTTGAGAAGCCAATTTTGCCAGTCGAAGAAGCTAAGCCTGTCGATGTTGAGCCAATCAAGAAAGTAGAAGAAATCGTTACTGAAATCAAACATGTCGAAGAATCTACTGTTGAGAAGCCAATTTCGCCAGTCGAAGAAGCAAAGCCTGTCGATGTTGAGCCAATTGAGAAAGTAGAAGAAGTCATTACTGAAACAAAACATGACGAAGAATCTACTGTTGAGAAGCCAATTTCGCCAGTCGAAGAAGCTAAGCCTGTCGATGTTGAGCCAATCAAGAAAGTAGAAGAAATCGTTACTGAAATCAAACATGTCGAAGAATCTACTGTTGAGAAGCCAATTTCGCCAGTCGAAGAAGCAAAGCCTGTCGATGTTGAGCCAATTGAGAAAGTAGAAGAAGTCGTCACTGAAACAAAACATGACGAAGAATCTACTGCTGAGAAGCCAATTTCGCCAGTCGAAGAAGCTAAGCCTGTTGATGTTGAGCCAATCAAGAAAGTAGAAGAAATCGTTACTGAAATCAAACATGTCGAAGAATCTACTGTTGAGAAGCCAATTTCGCCAGTCGAAGAAGCTAAGCCTGTCGATGTTGAGCCAATTGAGAAAGTAGAAGAAGTCGTTACTGAAACAAAACATGACGAAGAATCTACTGTTGAGAAGCCAATTTCGCCAGTCGAAGAAGCTAAGCCTGTCGATGTTGAGCCAATTGAGAAAGTAGAAGAAATCATTACTGTAACCAAACATGTCGAAGAATCTACTGTTGAGAAGCCAATTTCGCCAGTCGAAGAAGCTAAGCCTGTCGAGGTTGAGCCAATCGAGAAAGTAGAAGAAGTCATCACTGAAACAAAACATGTGGAAGAATCTACTGTTGAGAAGCCAATTTCGCCAGTCGAAGAAGCTAAGCCTGTCGATGTTGAGCCAATTGAGAAAGTAGAAGAAGTCGTTACTGAAACAAAACATGACGAAGAATCTACTGTTGAGAAGCCAATTTCGCCAGTCGAAGAAGCTAAGCCTGACGATGTTGAGCCAACTGAGCAAGTAGAAGAAGTCATTTCTGAAACAAAACATGACGAAGAATCTACTGTTGAGAAGCCAATTTCGCCAGTCGAAGAAGTTAGGCCTGTCGATGTTGAGCCAATCAAGAAAGTAGAAGAAATCGTTACTGAAATCAAACATGTCAAAGAATCTACTGTTGAGAAGCCCATTTCGCCAGTTGAAGAAGCTAAGCCTGTCGATGTTGAGCCAATTGAGAAAGTAGAAGAAGTCGTTACTGAAATCAAACATGTCGAAGAATCTACTGTTGAAAAGCCAATTTCGCCAGTCGAAGAAGCTAAGCCTGTCGATGTTGAGCCAATCAAGAAAGTAGAAGAAATCGTTACTGAAATCAAACATGTCGAAGAATCTACTGTTGAGAAGCCAATTTCGCCAGTCGAAGAAGCTAAGCCTGTCGATGTTGAGCCAATCAAGAAAGTAGAAGAAGTCGTTTCTGAAACGAAACATGACGAAGAACCTACTGTTGAGAAGCCAATTTCGCCAGTCGAAGAAGCTAAGCCTGTCGATGTTGAGCCAATCAAGAAAGTAGAAGAAATCGTTACTGAAATCAAACATGTCGAAGAATCTACTGTTGAGAAGCCAATTTCGCCAGTCGAAGAAGCTAAGCCTGTCGATGTTGAGCCAATTGAGAAAGTAGAAGAAATCGTTACTGAAATCAAACATGTCGAAGAATCTACTGTTGAGAAGTCAATTTCGCCAGTCGAAGAAGCTAAGCCTGTCGATGTTGAGCCAATTGAGAAAGTAGAAGAAATCGTTTCTGAAATCAAACATGACGAAGAATCTACTGTTGAGAAGCTAATTTCGCCAGTTGAAGAAGCAAAGCCTGACGATGTTGAGCCAATCGAGAAAGTAGAAGAAGTCGTTACTAAAACAAAACATATCGAAGAATCTACTGTTGAGAAGCCAATTTCGCCAGTCGAAGAAGCTAAGCCTGTCGAGGTTGAGCCAATCGAGAAAGTAGAAGAAGTCGTTACTGAAACAAAACATGACGAAGAATCTACTGTTGAAAAGCCAATTTCGCCAGTCGAAGTAGCTAAGCCTGTCGATGTTGAGCCAATCAAGAAACTAGAAGAAATCGTTTCTGAAATCAAACATGTCGAAGAATCTACTGTTGTGAAGCCAATTTCGCCAGTCGAAGAAGCTAAGCCTGTCGATGTTGAGCCAATCAAGAAAGTAGAAGAAATCGTTACTGAAATCAAACATGTCGAAGAATCTACTGTTGAGAAGCCAATTTCGCCAGTCGAAGAATCTAAGCCTGTTGATGTTGAGCCAATTGAGAAAGTAGAAGAAGTCGTGTCTCAAACGAAACATGACGAAGAACCTACTGTTGAGAAGTCAATTTCTCCAGTCGAAGAAGCTAAGCCTGTCGATGTTGAGCCAATCGAGAAAGTAGAAGAAGTCGTTACTGAAACAAAACATGACGAAGAATCTACTGTTGAGAAGCCAATTTCGCCAGTCGAAGAAGCTAAGCCTGTCGATGTTGAGCCATTCAAGAAAGTAGAAGAAATCGTTTCTGAAATCAAACATGTCGAAGAATCTACTGTTGAGAAGCCAATTTCGCCAGTCGAAGATGCTAAGGCTGTCGATGTTGAGCCAATTGAGAAAGTAGAAGAAGTCGTTACTGAAACAAAACATGACGAAGAATCTACTGTTGAGAAGCCAATTTCGCCAGTCGAAGAATCTAAGCCTGTCGATGTTGAGCCAATTGAGAAAGTAGAAGAAGTCGTTACTGAAACAAAACATGACGCAGAATCTACTGTTGAGAAGCCAATTTCGCCAGTCGAAGAAGCTAAGCCTGTCGATGTTGAGCCAATCAAGAAACTAGAAGAAATCGTTTCTGAAATCAAACATGTCGAAGAATCTACTGTTGAGAAGCCAATTTCGCCAGTCGAAGAAGGTAAGCCTGTCGATGTTGAGCCAACCAAAAAACTAGAAAAAGTTGTTACTGACACCAAACATGTCGAAGAATCTGCTTTTGAGCAGCCAATTTCGCCAGTCGAAGAAGCTAAGCCTGTCGATGTTGAAATCAAACATGTCGAAGAATCTACTGTTGAAAAGCCAATTTCGCCAGTCGAAGAAGCTAAGCCTGTCGAAGTTGAGCCAATCAAGAAACTAGAAGAAATCGTTACTGAAATCAAACATGTCGAAGAATCTACTGTTGAGAAGCCAATTTCGCCAGTCGAAGAAGCTAAGCCTGTCGATGTTGAGCCAATTGAGAAAGTAGAAGAAGTCGTTACTGAAACAAAACATGACGCAGAATCTACTGTTAAGAAGCCAATTTCGCCAGTCGAAGAAGCTAAGCCTGTCGATGTTGAGCCAATCAAGAAACTAGAAGAAATCGTTTCTGAAATCAAACATGTCGAAGAATCTACTGTTGAGAAGCCAATTTCGCCAGTCGAAGAAGGTAAGCCTGTCGATGTTGAGCCAACCAAAAAACTAGAAAAAGTTGTTACTGACACCAAACATGTCGAAGAATCTGCTTTTGAGCAGCCAATTTCGCCAGTCGAAGAAGCTAAGCCTGTCGATGTTGAAATCAAACATGTCGAAGAATCTACTGTTGAAAAGCCAATTTCGCCAGTCGAAGAAGCTAAGCCTGTCGAAGTTGAGCCAATCAAGAAACTAGAAGAAATCGTTACTGAAATCAAACATGTCGAAGAATCTACTGTTGAGAAGCCAATTTCGCCAGTCAAAGAAGCTAAGCCTGTCGATGTTGAGCCAATTGAGAAAGTAGAAGAAATCGTTTCTGAAATCAAACATGTCGAAGAATCTACTGTTGAGAAGACAATTTCGCCAGTCGAAGAAGCTAAGCCTGTCGATTTTGAGCCAATCGAGAAAGTAGAAGAAATCGTTTCTGAAATCAAACATGTCGAAGAATCTACTGTTGAGAAGCCAATTTCGCCAGTCGAAGAAACTAAGCCTGTCGAAGTTGAGCCAATCGAGAAATTAGAAGAAATCGTTTCTGAAATCAAACATGTCGAGGAATCTACTGTTGAGAAGCCAATTTCGCCAGTCGATGAAGCTAAGCCTGTCGATGTTGAGCCAATCAAGAAACTAGAAGAAATCGTTTCTGAAATCAAACATGTCGAAGAATCTACTGTTGAGAAGCCAATTTCGCCAGTCGAAGAAGCTAAGCCTGTCGATGTTGAGCCAATTGAGAAAGTAGAAGAAGCCGTTACTGAAACCAAACATGTCGAAGAGTCTACTGTTGAGAAGCCAATTTCGCCAGTCGAAGAAGCTAAGCCTGCCGAGGTTGAGTCAATTGAGAAATTTTTTGTGACAGTTGAAACAGATATTTCTTCAAAAATTGAATTGAAAACAGCAGTTTCTGAAAAAATGGTTGAAGAGTCTACCTTTTTCGTTGACAAGACGGTGACAACAACCGATATGGAGACTCTTGAAGAGGCTGCAGTTTTTAAGCATCAAGCTGCTGAGGTTATCACAGAAGGAGTTGAAACGACTGTTTTCGATAAATATACAGACAAGATTTCACTTGCTCTTGATTCTCAATCGAAAGATGATGATTCGACAGAAGTAGAACAAGTAACAGAAGTTGTTGAAACGTTTGTGACTACTATAACTCAAATTAAACCTGATCAGCAGACAATTGAAGAACAGAAGTCTTTGCTTGCCGTCTTAGGTGATGCTGAAGAGCAGTTCGAAGAGATCACTGAAGTTGTTCGAACAACTGTGACTGCAATAACTGATTCTAGAGCCGATGCTAAGACAGCTGAAGCAAAGATCTCCTCTTCAAATATTGTGTTGGAAACAGCAGTTTCTGATCAAATTGTTGAAGAGATTACCTCTGAAGTTGACAAGACGGTGACAACTACAGTAGTCCAGTCAATTTCAGACGAAGAGACGGCAGCTGTTAAGCAACAAACATTTGAGTCTATTACAGAAGTTGTTGAAACGACTGTGACTTCTACATCTGAAGCTATTCTCGATGAACACACAGACGTAGAGCACAAGGCTTCAACTGCTATTGATTCTCGTTTCAAAGATGTTGACTCAACAAAAATCGAAGAAGTAACCGAAATTGTTGAAACAACTGTGACTACATGCACTCACACTAGACCTGATGAGGAGATAATTGAAGAAAAGCAGCCTTCGCTTGACGTCGTGGAAGACGTTGAAGAGCAGTTCGAGGAGATCACTGAAGTTATTCAAACAACTGTTAAAACAATGACTGATTCTAGAGCCTATGCAAAGACCTTCTCGTCAGCCTATGAATTAGAAACAACAACTTCTGAACAAGTGGTTGAAGAGACTACTTCTGAAGTTGATAAGATGGTGACAACCACAGAACTGCAGTTTATTTCAGATGATGCGGTTACAGTTGTGAAGCATCAAGCTGATGAGTTAGTCACTGAAGTAGTTGAAACGACTGTGCTCGATCAACATACAGACAAAGAGCAGAAGATTTCACTTGCTGTTGATTCTCAATCGAAAGACGATGACTCAACAGGAACAGAACAAGTAACCGAAATTGTTGAGACAACTGTGACTACTATAATTCAAATTAAACCTGATCAGCAGACAATTGAAGAACAGAAGTCTTTGCTTGCCGTCTTAGGTGACGCTCAAGAGCAGTTCGAAGAGATCACTGAAGTTGTTCAAACAACTGTGACTGCAATAACTGATTCTAGAGCCGATGCTAAGACAAATGAAGCAAAGATCTCCTCTTCAAATATTGTATTGGAAACAGCAGTTTCTGAACAAATTGTTGAAGAAATTACCTCTGAAGTTGACAAGACGGTGGCAACCACAGAAGTGAAATCAATTTTAGACGAAGAGAGGGCTTTTGTTAAGCAACAAACAATTGAGTCCATCACAGGAGTTGTTGAAACGACTGTGACTACTACACCTGAAACTATTCTCGATGAACACACAGGCGTAGAGCAGAAGGCTTCACCTGCTGTTGATTCTCGATCAAAAGATGATGATTTAACAGAAATAGAGGAAGTCATCGAAATTGTTGAGACAACTCTGACTACATTAACTCAAACTGATGAGCAGACAGTTGAAAAACAGAAATCTTTGCTTGACGTCGTAGGTGACACTCAAGAGCAGTTCGAGGAGATCACTGAAGTTGTTCATACAACTGTAACTGCAACAACTGATTCTAGAGACGTTGCAAAGTCAACTGAAGGAAAGACTTCTTATTCAGCTAGTGGATTGGGAACAGTAGTATCCGAAAAAACAATGAAGACTGCTTCTGAAATGGACAAGACTATGACAACGATAGAAGTGAAGTCTATTTCAGACGAAGCGACTGCATTTGTTGAACAACAAGCGGTCGAGTCTACCACTGAAGTTGTCGAAATGACTGTGACAACAATGTCTGAAACTATGCTCGATGAGCAAGCAGCTGTTGATTTACAATCACATAAAGATAATTCAGAAAATGAAGAACATTTTACTGAAATTGTTGAGACTACAGCGAAGACAATGACCCTACCAATTGAAAGCAAAACAGACAGAACCACTACTCTTGAAAATTTAGCAATGGCTTCCTTTGCACTAAACTTACATTCTTATCGAGTTAGGGAATCCATCGCGTTCACTATGCTTCGGGATGCTACGGCTGAATCGGTTGCGCAAGAGTCTGAACACGCTTTTGACACTGACAAAAGGCATGATTCAGATGTGGAGCGAATAGATAAGCCAGAACTTTCTGCACCATCTGAACGTTCAGATATACCGGAAGATCTAAGAAGAGAAGAATCTCGTTTAGCGGATACACGCAAGAGTTCACTTTCTGCCGTTGAAGGATCTGTATACGACGATGATTCGCCATTGCTTACGGATTTCACGACTTCTTCGATAACGTATGTCAGTGAACGGGTTGATTCATCCTCGCTTGAACTGATGGCGGGAGATAGCTTTGGGGATTTCCTTAAGGTCAAACCAGCAGCAGAGAAGAAAATCGATGTCCTATCTCCAAGCTCGTGTATTTCGTATGCCACGACGATAAGTGAAACGATTGACTCGTACACTCATGATACCGATAGATTGCTGTACACCGGAGGATCCATCCAACAGGATGTACCGACAGAGTATGAGCGATCCGTTTCCTTAAGTGATAATGCCGCTTCCGATTTTTCGACCGAATCTGCCACCAAATACAATCTGCCTTACGACACAGAATCCGACAGCCATGACGTTATGATGGGCTTGCCAAAGCCACGCGATGATTCGCAGGAAACCAGACAGGTAAAGTCCTGCAAGCTAATGTCGATCGACCCCCGACATGAATCAGCATCACCGCAAAGTGACGTTACAGAGTATACGGAAAGTGTATCCTATGTAGAGTCAATTATTGACAGTACAAATTATGATAGCGCCTTAAAACAAAAAGAGAACTTGAAGCTAGAGCAGCAGAAGCAAGAAGAGAAGAAGGATGCTCAGGAGAAGTTGGCCCTAGTAAAGGGTCAAACCATCCATGAAGTAAAGGAAAAGGAGATTCTGCTGAAGAAACAAGTATCCGAGAAGAAGGATACAACTCAGGTAAAGAAAAAGTCCAAACCGAAAGCTACTGTGACAAAAATAAGCCTACAGAAGCAAACGCCAATCGAGATTTCGAAGCAATCAACCAAAACCGTTGACATCAAGTCAGGTTCAAAGAGTGTTGAGTACACTTCGAGCACAAGCCGTTCTACCACGGTATCGCGCACACACGTTAGCACCAGATCGCACGGATACATGCAATCTACGCTCTCCCGGGACCAAAAGGTGTTGAAACCACTGAACCTTACCGATTCTACGCATTCTTCTCCGGTTAAGTCTTCCCATCGGTCGACATCTTCAACAACGGTGGTACAACCACCACCAGAGCGAAGAGCCAAATCTTCCAGGGACACTTCCGGCAGCCGATCCGATATGACTGCTTCAAAGTCCCTCAATAAACCTGAACCAATAAGTTCCAGCGCTGTGAAGAAACAAGAGCCTTTGCCAGTAGTGCAAAGCACTAAGCATACTAGAGCCTCCACTGACCGTTCAGAGCGGACGGGCAGATCGTCATCTTCGTCCATATCTAGCAGTATTTCCCGATACCATCGTTCCAGAAAATCAACAACAGAACCGATCGACAAGCATGAACCAGTTAAGAAATCAGACAAAGAACAAGCCAACCTCGTCACGAAGACTACAGCGAGTACGTCCAAGAGTTCGAAAGAACGTACAAACAAAAGTTTAATTCCGGTGAAGGTTCCCAGCGCCAAGGGTTCTCCTAAGAAGGAGCCTCCCGTCAAAGCCAGCGCTGGGAAGAAACCGACCAAGACTGTCGTCGAGGACAAACCTCAAAAAACTGTGATAGTGATGACAACAAAGTCCTACGATGTGTCTACCGCCAGCACCAATATCATCACCGAAGCCACGCAGACACCTGCAAAGATTGGGTTCGTCAGAACTGCGCCGCGGATGACTAAAACCGTACACACGTCCGGTGATTCGAAACGTGACGACACCTATCGGTGCAAGTCCGCCATGCACTACTCGTATAAGGATGCCGTCGCGTTCGATCACGCCGAAATTCCGTCTTCGTTGCCGTCTAGTCCGAGCCGTCTCAATAAAAGTTCCTCCAATAGTACAAATGTGTTGACCAGTGAAGTCTTCACACGCACGATCGACTCGTCGAAATCGATCGAAGTGATCTACCGTCAACCGTCGACCTCGAACGAACTGATACGCAAGATTAACGAATACCGCTACAATGACATTGACCTGACGACTGACTCTAGCCTTTCAGACTCCATAGCACTGCCTTCGTCGTCTTCCGACCACGAAGGTGACGTCCTTGGTAAACGCAAACGCTCCGGTAGTCCAGCCTCGCCAAAACCGTACGCTACGACTTCCTCGGCGTCATCGTCTGCTGCGACGGCGACCACCCGTAAACAGGTGGCCACTAGCTCCACTACCACCACCAGCCAGCAGATTGTAAGCGATCAAAGGTACCGTAAGTCGGACATATGGATGCGTGCCGGTCCCCAGCCACCGGAAGTCCCCATGCCGTTCGACGGCGACGACGAGATCTATCAGGCATTGCATGCCATCGACCGCCGCACGGTGGCATCACTCGACGGCATTGTGATGGAAAGTCGCATCTCACCGATACTCGACTTCCGGGCATCCACGCCGCCACGTCTGAAGTATAAGTTTGATTACGATAGTTCCCTGTTTACAGGTAAATGTTCCAACTCTCCTCCTGCTCGCAATCTCTATGCCAAAAAATAACTTTTAAAACATCGAACATACACTCAAATTTAAATGACATAATACTATTATAGAGTCGTACTTGTCCAAGTACCTAAGCCCGTGACTTGTTTGATGGATATTCTCGCTACATATCGTTGCATCCCGTTTGTCTCTATTCCGCCAATTTACTTGTTTCGTTTTGTTTCATTTGGGAGCGCAGTATTCAGACCAAAAAAAAACGAATTACAATTGAAAAGTAGCTTGTTAATTCTTTTCCAAATTCTTTGCCTTGTTGTGCTACTTTGCCACGATTTGCTACTATGTGTTTGTGGTTCTGCCTATAGCAGTATTATGTCCAACACTATCGGCCTTTAACAAAAACAAAAACTATATGTGTTATCTGATTAATAGCACTTGATCACTCCTCCGCGACGAATGGGTCCAAGGGAACTCTACAAATGTGCCGAACTCGTGCAAGAACCCAGCAGGAGAAAAGTCTAGTAGTCAGATAATCCCGTTACATATATAGTACGTTTAGCAGCCTCCATATCCTACCCAGAAATTCAATAATCATTTTCAGTCGATGTTATAACCGAACATTTATTTTATATCGAAATATGCATAATTTGCCTTGCAATGCCATTGTTTCCGACTTCTGTTATTAGGCGTCTTTCGTTTTTTTGTATAATTTAATTTGCATAATTTTTCTATTCCTTTGTGTTCAACCGCTACATTCTGAAATGACACACAGGTTAACAAGTCAGAGACATTCGCACGAACCGAAGCCCCATCGTAGCCAGCATGTCGGACATACCGGTAATCTCCATCACCCAGGAATGTTCGGACGACGACGTCGACGAAATGTCCAAGCTGAACATCAACGAAGCACTTACCGATACGGAAGATCTCTTCATGGACCAGGATACGGTACGGTACCGCAAGAGTCCAGCGAAATCCAGCCCAACGGGCAATTCCCTGATAGATGCCATTGTACCGACCACGAATGGTTCGGTAACCGACGTCGAAGACTGTACCGATTCCGAAGATGAGAACGACGCCGAGCCGAAGTCCGCTCGGGAAGCGGATATTGCTCTGGACTGTTTCCTGGACCAAGGGTACGTAGATGAGACCACCAAATCCAACAACAAGGGAGACAGACCGAAGACCTTGACCAGATGCTCCTCGAAGACTACCGAGTCGGATTCACTGCAGGTGTTTGCCGACACGAGCAACGCGCTGACCGATTGCGAAGATTGTGCCCTCTCGGATGACGACGATTCGCTAGGTAGGGTATCCATTCCGGACTGCCCGGAGGATATCCTAATGAAGGACATTGAATCGGATGCCGTGGACATACACAATTCGATGAAGCGGAAGCAGGAGAAGCATACGCATCATAAACAGGAAGCCATCGATGAAAGTTCTTCCGATTCGGACAACGACTGTAAGGTTCGCCATCGGCGAAGTCATCGTAGGACGCAAGAGGAACGCCCTCGATCGGCGTACGAGAATATGCTCCTCTCCGATGATGACATGGCTGGTGCTTGTGCTAAACCTGCACCAAATCGACAGTCAGCGTTATTCGAAGCGGAAGAGCTCGTCCTGGAAGGAAGCGATGTCGAGGATGATAGAACGCAGAATTTTCCAGAGATTAACATAACGTTTGTTTCGGAAATACCGGATGGTTCAGCGGAATCTTCGGCAGCGAAAACGAAGAGACCTTCGAGTTTGGGTGTGCAGGCACCTAATGCAGACGAAGCGTTGACCGATGTGGAGAACTTGGATTCCTCCGACAGTGAGGACGAAAAACAAACCACGGGCAAGCGACTGATGCCACGGGCCGTAGTCCGACAGGGTAGAACCGGTGGTGGCGGTGGAACTACCGATGTTGAAGACTTCAACGACAGTGATGACAACGATTTTGTAGACCCGGACCAAAAAAAAGAAGTAGGTCAGGAGTTCCTACCATCGCCGGTCCGTGAAATCGCCATCCTAAGGCAGGGTGAATCCGGAGAACAGAGACAGAATGTGATGCCATTGAATCAAGGGCTACTCATGGTACGCACTCCGGATATTGAGCAAGCCTTAACGGACGTGGAAGACATGTCCGATACGGAGGAAACCGGCGAGATGTACGACAGTTCCAAGTATACCATAGAATCGCTGCCCGACATGGAGAACGGTGACGTATATTCTAGCGATAACACATGCGTCAAGACCGCTAACCTAGAGGTGACGAGTCCAGCACAGGAACCAAAAACTGACACGGAGGATCTGTTTTTTGAGCGAAGCGCTTCCAACAGCGGCAGTGGAAGTGAGCTAAGACGTCGCCGCAAGCCGAAACAGTCCCATGGGCACAGCACTTCCAATGCAAGCTCATGCCAGCAGTTTAGGGGCAAGAAGTTCCTGTTTGAAATGAAAGTGGACACGGCCGCCGCGGCTACTACAGACGTAGAGGACATGTACCTAAGTGATGATGCCAAGGAATGTGGCTTTGTACCTTCGAAACAGCGTCGTGCGACGATCCAGGTCAGCGGACTGACAGCGGCGACGAATGATTGCGGTGCAAAAACTGATGTGGAGTTTCTTTCCGGAGATGAATTGGTGAACGATCATCGATCAGTGCATTCTCCACAGCTGTGCTTCGATGGATATTCATCGGTGGTCAAGTCGCGGGAGCGCAACGGTCCAGGATCGGACGTAATGTTGGAAGCGTATCCGATTCCCCTGATACGGGAGGTTTCGCCGAGTCCAGACACACATAACTGCGACACGGACTGCGAAGATATACAGGACGCTTCAGATGGTGACGATCCGGTGGACGGAATGTATTCGCGAGCACAGACGGCAACTCCGTTCGAGTTGACGAGGGCCTTGGATGAGAGTGCAGGGTGTGAAATCCACGAAACCAGCGCTCGCTCCAAGGGCGTACTGCTGGATGTCAAGGGCACGACCGGTAACGATCACCAGGAAATGCATACCGATGTGGAATTTCTAGACGACGATGCCGGGAACGGTGCGGATCAGTAGATCCGAAGGCAGCAGGTCTGGAGAAAGGGGTTTCGTGTTCGTACGGCTACGGTATGGTATGACATTGTATTAAGTTATTTTTTTCTATTTTCGATTTCCTTTAGGCCAAGCAGTGTTGACTTTTTTTATTTCGTTGTCTACTCGGTTGATATGCGTGACTTAATAAGCTTGATGTTTTACGTAGGCTAAGGCTTTCGTTGATTTACCCCGTTACTTTATGCTATTCATAATTACAGTATCATATGTTCTATACTACTTTAACCACCTATCTACTCAAGTATTATATTACTCGTTTAAAAGAGCTAATCAAGTACCGATATACAAGCAGCAGAACTCGCAGAGCCTCCTAGCCGACCACTAAACCATTGTTGAAGACATACGTTTATCGTTGTGCTTTTGTTCCTCTAATTTGTATTCCAGATGACAAACAAGAAGAAGATACACAAGCATCGGCAAGCTTCGAAGGTTAGTATGACGGTTCGTTCTCTGTCGTCCACCATTTGTTCGTGTTTTTCTTTTTTTTTTAAATCGTTAATATTTCTGGTCTCTCCACTCTTTGAAAATAAAATTTAAAAAAAAATCACTTTTTTTTTTCTTTCTTCGTAAAAGCACACCAACACATACACACAGACTCGTGCGCACCAAACACACATGAATTTAAAAAAAAATCTCACACTCACATCGAAACCCATCGAAGCGCTGAGAGCAAATTGTATATCTGAGTTTAAACTGATTCTGGTTGGGAAGACTGGCGTTCGATTTCAATTTCTTTCCAAACAGGTTGCTATAGCTGAAATACCTACCATGCCAAAAGGATTCCATTCTCTAGGTGTTACTTAGTGTCGAACTTTTTTGGGTATCTAGAAATGCTAATTTTATTCGATTCTAAACGAAGCTCTGACGAAAAAAGCGAAATTGTACTAAAGAAAGCAAACGCTGGCATATCTCATCACTCATCCTCTCATTAAAATCATTCTACCATTCTATCTCATTCGTTCGTACGCTTGCTCACTCGCTGGTGGTCACTTCGTACTCGTCGTGAGTGGTAGTGACCGCAACGAGTGCAACGAGCGTATCAATCATCATTGTCACTATTTTTAATCTAGGCCTGAAGTCGCTTTAGCCCGCGTATCTCTCAGTTGCAGCCGAATGCATTCAATGATAACTATTTTCTCCTAAATCCCTTTCTCATTTCAGGCGAAGAGTATCTTAATTTAGTACAGTCGGAAGCTAGTAACTTAGTCGATAGCATATTGGAGCAGAGTGTATCGATCGTAAACAACTCCCAAATGCAACCGGACGTTGCGATCGAAACGCAGGCTCACTCGGAGAGCGAGCAATACGCAATCCGTAGCGATATCCTATCGTCTAACGAAGCCGATCTTGTCGTTAAGTCGCCCACCATAGAGTCTATGTCAGGCAAGTCTTTCGATGATAACATTAGCAACCCCGACTATGACAGTAGCGAAGCCAACCAGCAGCTAGCGCAACTAGCCGGTGTTCTGCCCACTGCTTCCTTCGGTGAGGCCACAGACGGTGCCGTACAGCCAACAGGGACCGATGAAGATGGACCTGTTGGCGATGGTGGCGCCGCCGTCGATGAAGCGGTCCGGAAAGAACGCCGAGCGAATAAAATAGAACGACACTTTGAGCGACTGTCGTCCGAAATCGAGCCGGAAGCGTTGCTGGACAAAAATCGCGATTATGACGAAGCCATTTCCCAAATCAAAGATGAAGTTTCAATGCTGCAGAGTGAATTTTCGAAAATGAGCTGGGACGAGAGTCTTTCTGCTACGACCGGTGATTTCGGTTCCAGTACTCCCGATCACGATCTACAAGGTAGCGACTAGTCGAACACGCGTTTTCAACTTAAACCAAAAATACAACCTAGAGAATTAACAGTCCAAAACTAACATTTCGTTTCTATAAAAGCATGCCAGTCTCTTCGTTCTTTCGGTTCTGTTACATTATATTGTTTGCCCCACAATTTGCAATCGACAAAAGAATATCAAAAGCATTGGAGCTCCATTTTCGAAAACCTCACCAAATTGGCACTTGAACAATCTAGATACGTTTCGCTTTTTTCTCTGACAAAAACTAAACTAACTCAACTAACGGTTCCCAACAACGCGTCTCCATAATTGGAAAGCAAAAACTCACCAACAACCAGAATCAGAACTCATCGGTCTGTTTTTACGTTTCGTATCCTGTATGATTTACGTTCCTTTCGACTACTTCATCCCGAACCCCTCGAAAACCAAACCAAAAATCAACCAACGATTAAACTCATTCTCTTCCGTCCGTAACCTTAACACGCTTTTTTCACCGCTTTTATTCTTATAGAAACAGATACGCAACCACAAACAGAAATTACCATTCCAAAGCCAACGCCAAGATCGCAATCTAATCTAACTGCTGACGTTGATGCCTCTGCTGCAACCACTAGTGTCGCTACTACTACTTCCACCACCACTACTACTAGCTCTGCTGCTGCTGTTGCCTCCTCGCTAACAACTTCATCCGCTCTTGCTACCAAGCCCACGGACGAAGCATCCTTCGTGGAAACCACTGACCACGACAAACCCGGAGTTTCCGGGGACGCTAGCGAGTTCTCGAGCAGCCAGGAACCGCTTCCGGTTCCGCGACCGCGTACCAGCATTTCTTCCCGAACAGACACCCAGACTCGATCCAGCATCATCGAGTCCTTCGATCAACCGGAGGACTCCATCGAGCAGTACCCCGAGCCCAGCAGTCTACGGCAGGAATCGGTCGCATCCGAAGACTTTTCCGGTGCTGCCCAGAAAGATTCCGTCGAGTTCGAGACAAGCGAAGAAGATCTGTCAGCCACTAAATTCTATATCGGCGAACGCAGCTCTGACGTCATCACACGGACAACTTCCGAGAAACGATCGGACTATGCCTTCGATAACATCGGCTACGAGTATTCGCAAGACTCCGGAGCGGACGAAGAGCCCCAGCAGGATCCCTTCAAAGCATACCGCGAAAAGGTCACCCAAGAAGATTCTTTCACTCTCAAACAGCTCCAGGAAGTGGAAACCGGCACCGCTCTCGATGAAGAAATCAAAGCCGAAGTCATTGAAATCATCGAAGGTATCGCAGACCAATCCAAGACCTTCGAACTTGACCTAGAAAGACGAATCGATGCTCCCCACCAGCCCGTAGTCCACTCCCCAATCCAGCCACAGGTTGCTAAGCTCGTAGAAAGCGCTAAGCCATCTACCCAGAAACCTACCGTATTCGAAGAACCTTCGCAGCCAGAAGTCATCAAACGCACAATAGATGAACTAGCCATCGAGAAAACTTTGGAAGAAGTCAAAGAATCCCTCGACGCCGTGCATGAAGAACTCATCGAATCCGTCGTCGACGGAAAACTGATCAAGCAGTCGCCTTCCGAGTTCGAGTTCAAAGTCCTACCATCTACTAAATACTCGCAAGATCCCATCTATGAAGCCCAGCAAGAGGAGGTGATCGTCAGCAGCGCAACTACAACTACTGCAGACCTTGTCGAACCGGTTACCATAACTACCATCATCTCCGAACCGATCATCCTCACCGAAATCAAAAACGATTCTTTTGAACAAAAAACCTCCGACCCGGAGTCTAAGGAAACTTCCTACGAATCTGCCCGACCGGATGGCCTGACTCCGATCTCTTCGGATAGTTCCTTTGCAAAGCTGGACGTCTCACCGCGTATGCGCAAATCACCGCACCACCCCAAGGGCACTCGCTGGTCCGCTACCGATATCGATAGTTCCGGCGAAAGCCAGTACCAAAGCTTCGAGCAAACCGACAGCAGTCGACCACAGTCTTCCGACGTGGACAACCTAATGCAACAGTATGTCTCATCGGAGTACGAAACCGCCCTCGATAACTCGATCATTCCTCCATCGACAGAATATCACAGCGCTGCCAGTACTCTCAATTCGTTCAACGTAAGCACGAACGACAGTCTGAAGAGTTTTGATTCGGAAAGTTCCGGCAACCTGGCCAGCATCGAGTCCGAAGCTACGGAAACCCTAGTCCCGTCCACGATGGACATTGACTTTGACTCTTCCGATGCAGCAGCTCTTATTCACGACGATTCGGAGGACGACCTCCGCGAAAAGTTACTACTGGACGATAAGGAAGACCTCTCGTCCATATCCGGTACCATGCCGGTGGCGATGAAGCGCTCACAGGAGATGCACTTTACCGTCGATTTAATGGACGATCAGCGTTCGGAAGACTCGCAGGAAGTTTTCCAGCTACAGGAAGACGTCGAAGAACAGCTGGCGCAAGAGCAATCGGAGAAGCTGAGCTCCAGCATCGGAAACGCGTTGGATCTGATGGAATCGATGAAGGCTTCCAGTTTGGAAGACGTCAAAACGGAATGTATCGACGATATAAAGCTCGGTACAAGTCTGGAGGACGGAAGCATTCTGTCAATCAGTCTGTCCAGCGCCTCCAACTTGGAAACGATCATGGAAAACCTTACAGACAAGGCAACCGACAGCTTCCCAACGCACATGGAGATCGGACTGGATGCAATAACGCCGATTGCGGGAACTTCTGCGGAAATGATAGGGGACATTACGTTGACGTCTTCGGTCGGCCGGGAGGGAGACGTCAACTTCCTAAACACGCAAGCTACGACGGAAATGGCGGGAGCTAAAGAAGCTACAGATGAAAACTCCAAGAAACGGGGACATAAGCGTTCCGAGAGTACAATTTCCGGTCAGCTGATGTCGGAAATTGCCGCAGAAGCTCGGGATTCGTTGGATTCCCAGGAGGAATCTGTATCACTCGAGGCGTCCAAGCAATCGAGTGTGGAACGTGACGGTACGAGGGAGGAATCTTCGGACTCTGATTACGATCGGTACGAATCGGAGTACTCGAGGTCGTTCCGGGCACCGTTGATTCAATCTCAGAAGAAGAAAAAAGATAAGGTGAACGAAGGGTACGAAATTGAGGTAGAGCATGATAGACGCAATTCGTTCTCGCCGTCAAGCTCGGTCATCGAGACGATCGTGGAGGACGTTCATGCGGAAATCGAACAAGGAGATGAAGCGCAGCAGTTAATGGAAATTAAGAAGGAGCAGTTGCAGGAATATCAACAGACCTCGGCAACGATTATTCCGGATATTCAAGTAACGGAAGATGTTCAGATGGAAGATTCGGAGGAAGAGCCGATGGGGGCATCATACTCGGCAAAGCCGATGGAACGCGAAACTAGTGATCATAAGATTCAGTACGCTGTTCAGGAGGAGTTCAAGATTAGTGAGGAACAATATCAAGAGATGATCGATCAAAAGTACAAGTCCAAGATGGCTGATATTACGAACAAGTTTGATTTCGAAGCAGATGATAAGGATGATTCGGCCGGGTCGGATTCCTTTGAGATGCTTGAGCAACCGGATATTTCCGACGAGTTTGTCATTGTTGAAGAGGTGGCTCGTGAGGCACACGAATGTGACATGGAAGGAAAGAGTGTATCGATCCAGCAGGTTAAGATGGAGAAGAAGCACGACGAAGAGGTGGAGAAGATGTTGGTGAAGTCAGCTCCAGCGCACACGAATGCCGGCTCTTTGTATGCGAATATGCGAGAGGACATGATGTATGCATTCGAAGACAGTCCCCCGACCGGTAGCGAGGAAGTGGATCCAAATGCAGTGACAATGGATCTGCTGAACAATGGATATCCTCTGGAGGAGAGTAAGCGGTGGGTAGAGATGCAGCTGGCAGAAACTCAGAACTACCGATACCCGTACGACGAACGCTTGGAAGATATCAAGGAGGAGGATGAAGTGGGTAGTAGCCGAATTGGAAGCATTAAGGATTCATTCTCTAGCACCCCGGACTACGATATGCTGGCAAAGAGACTTGCTTCCAGAGGAGGTGAGCATGACGATATTTCGATGAGCAGTTTGCAGGAATTTGAGAGCCTCGAACAGGTAATCTCTCTCGAGAACCGTAAAATGCAGCAAGGATCTCAGGATTCTTTGAGCAACGGAAGCTTCACGAAACGGTTTTTGGCCCGTGGAGGTCATGGTGACGATATTAGTCTATCGAGTTTAAAGGAATTCGAAGGACTGGAGACAGCTTGCTTGGAAGCACAACTGATAGAGATCAAGGCTAAGGAAGAGGCAGCACTGTTGTTGTCCAGATCGGATGAATCTAACAAATCGGATAGATCGAACGGTGTCAAGAGAAGTCCACCAACCAATGGAACCGTGGTACGGGCAACTACTAGTAGCACAACAGTGACATCCGGTCCGGAGCAGCAGACTACCAAGGTAGAAACCAGCTTCGTGACTAAAGGAATGAGCAAAGATTCGTTGTCAACTACGACTACAGCAACCACCGTTACGACCGTTTCCCATGAAAGCCAGGTAAGACATGCGCTGGAAGAGGAAGACACTTCACACCTGTTAACGGTGTCGAGTGATAGTCTGGATGGAAATCGTATCCAGCAACAGACCATCAGCAAAGATACACTTCCATCGGCACACTCCAGCAGTGATAGCTTGGAAATCAACAACAAGAACAATATGGACTTGATGACCAGCAGTATTGACTCGATTGAGTTTTCACGGGCTGGAGCGATGACAACCCGATCTTCGAGGTCCGATTCGATCGAGCAGATAGCTTTGCAACAGCCCCCACGTAGTGACAGCACGGACTCCATCGAGATGCAGCACGCAGTGATGTCTAGAGCCAGTGAGACAAAGCGTGATTCGCTGGAATCACTTCCGTACAGTATCGAAAACAAGAGCACGTCCAGCAGCCCAACGAAATCTGCTGCGGGCCAACGGATGACTACGGAAAGTGTCATGATCGCCGGTTCGAGTTCAGTAAGCTACCATCAGACGGGAATGACCAAGGACATCTCCATAGATTCCTTAACTGGTCAGGACGCGTTTTTGACCAGTACGGAAAGCCTGGAGACCAGCTCAACGGCCACTAATGCTACCTACCAGAACGAAACCGATTCACAGATGTCGTCTAGTGTGACGAGCTGCGGTTCAATAACGATGGTCGATACGCTGGACAACTTCGGTGACCTAGAGGGTTTCGGACTGCAGGAAAGTATGACCTTCCAAAGCAGCAGCAGCACCACCATGGTGACAGCAAGCACAAGCAGTTCTGGCCAGCAACAGCAGCAGCAGCAGCTGCTGCAGCATCAACAGCAACAACAACAACAACAACAACAACATACGACAACACAAGTGCTTCGCAGCAGTACTTCATCGACCACTACTACCACTTCGGCAACGGCCAGCACCAGGAGCGAATTTCCGCTAGCAGAAATTGAACTGTTAAGTAGACAAATGTACCCAGGTTAGAATTCGAAAACTTAATACCATTCGCTCAAACTATATATCTATATATAAATACAAGTTACTTCTTTAGTTCTGCCTAGTAGGGAAAGCAAGCAAACTTGAAGGCCCATTGCTTGTTTAAGCTCAGCGCTGTTAATGCAACTTTTTCCGAGTCGAAATGGAGCTCACCAGAAAGTTTAAGTTTGTGTATTTTATCGTTTGATCAACACCAGCTTTTATAAAAGTCATGCATGCCGATTTTAAGATCCTTAGAGAGTGCTAGTTTTTAACTTTCCCGATATTTCGTTCCGTTTGATTACCCCGATTTGAATCTTCGAGCTCGCTTGATCTACAGTATTTCCTCCGTTACTTCCAGGGGACTTAACATTCGATGACGCAAAGGAGACAGCCAAAGAAAAACTACAAAGCGTAAGTTTTACCGCGATCGGAAAGCAATAGGCAACTGATTCGATTCCTTGTTGTTCCATTCACAGAAAACGACTGAAAAGGAGGACTAAATGACGACACTTCGATCAAATTGCGTACGTGGAGATCAGCTGATTTGATTTTCATCCGCTTTATATACACACACACACAGTCAGCAAACCAAATGGCATCCTTTTTCCAGATATTTAATAATATTTTTACTAAAAAAAACAAACAAGGAAAACTGCAGTAAATCATACTGAATCTATTCACTTACTTATCGTATTTTAACAAACAAACTGCGGAATAATCATGAAATACAATGTAAAGCTTAGCTCAATTTTTGTTGACTCTATAAAACCACTAAAAATTACTGATAAAAAATATAAACAAATCGCATATACAACATCCAGCAAAACAACTTATCTCTAGCGAAACAGAAGCCCTGCAATAAACAAAAAGAAAGTAAACACGAATATAAAACTATTGACAAAAAATCTACAACAAATAGAGGAATGATGGTAAAACCTATGCTAGAAAGATAGAACGACAAACTGATAGTCATCGGACGAAAGGACGATTGAAATCCAAAACTAAAAAGGATTTATGAATAATTGCTTATTCCATATATTTAACAAAAGGCAAACAAGCCATAGAAAGTGATTTTCTCCGCAAATATATGCTTTCTCTGACACAGTCAAGTCAAACGTGGAGATTCGTAGTGAAACGTATATCATTGGAGTTATTTTATGTTCGCTTCAATGTTCATTTTTGGAAGTAAATTAGAAAAAGAAAACAAAATTTTGTGTCATGTGATTAAACCTTTACCTTAATCGATAAGAAGCAAAACAAAAATGAATACAAGTGAGACAAAAATCGTTAACTTTTTTTTTTAAATGTTGATTAATGACAAAAAAAAACATGATGGAGAAAAACAACAACCAAACTGATATTTACTAGCGACAGTGAAAAATAAGATAAAACAGTGCGAAACGCAGTGGAAAACAGATGATAACACGAAAAAGAAAAATGACAGAACAACACCTCTAGCAAACCAAGTATTTTACATGATATTTAAGATAAACAAAACTAATTTGAAGATGAAAACAAAAACAGCAAGGTAAATATTATTATTGACTCGATGTAAAATTTGCGAAACTATCAAATAAATGCTTAATAAAAAATTATATTTAATGGTTTATTATTAATTTGATGACAATTTCCTGCCTAGTAGGGTTACGGTATGTAATGTGGGTCTAGTCCTTTCATTCGGCCTATCACGCAAATAAATAATTAATTAAGGAATATTACACAAAAAATAAGGAAAATATTGATCACTGATGATTGATAAATGTGTACCACACACAAATCAATTTATATCACAACATTTCAATACATTTTCAGCTCTCGTAAGTAATAAAACTGGTTGAGAATATCACTCTGTTCGGAGTTTTTAGCCGCCATGACTTCTAAGGTTAAGATGGGAAGGTTGCACTGACGATCATCAAATGGCCTGATTATGGCATTTATTGAATGGAATTACCTGATAATACACACTAGACGTAAAACTCACAGTTACTGTTTGAATATTTTATGTTTATTTTAATTGTTTAACAACGTTTTCACAAGTAAATCATGGACCCAACTTTAGGGACACATTTCTTTTCTATGTTCCTAACTTTGGCCCATGAAATTCATTTGACAGCATATAGCAATAAGAGTAACGTCAACAATGTGGTTTGCATTTGGATGATAAGGAACGAACAGGAAGGGAGATTTTTTCTGCCAAATCTGTATAATGAACATCACAATGTTTTGATTTAGATATTCTGCGGTCGAAAGACGATAAGCGAAATTTTTAATTTTTAATTTTTAACTTGAGTGATTTAATGTAGTTTTCGTAAAATTTTCTCTAAGAAATGTTTTGAGGAATGAAGAGTATTAAGTTAACAGTGATAGTGATAAAAAAAAATACATAAGAAAACGTTACCAAGAGCGTTTTTTTTTTGAGAATCAAACAGGATAGGACGAAGTTGCATCCATAAATAGACCCAATTTGGGGACAATAGACCGATATTACATACATTTCCCTGGTGAGTTTTTGTCTTAAAAAAAGTAAGTTTTTCAACTTTTTGCGGTTCCTGATAGCAAACGACATGATAAGCATATCTAAGCATACCATTTAGCAGTAGAATATCGTTTGCAGGTAAATTAATTGATGAGTTATGATTAAAAACGTAATCTATGGCTGCATATTAGACCGAGGTTAGGGACGTATACCCTATGTATGGAATATATAAATTAAGGACCGCTCCCCAACAACAACCCAAACACCAGAAGATATCGGACATCGGTTGGACACAATTAAACAAGAACAACAACAAGTAGCCATAACATTTAGTGCGATCGCACAGTCATCGTTTCCAGGGATCCTCAACGCCAAAGACTAGTACGAGTGGCAGCGTCGACAGCAACAACAACAACAATAACAACATCAGTAACGGTTATAACTCATCAGCACCCCGACGACCACCATAGCATACACCAAGTGCACTAGCAGAAAACGCCAATTCAGCAACAAAGTAATGTGAACACCCAACCACGATGTTGACGAAGAGGATCACCACATGGCAACGGCAACAGCAAGTCAACCCGACACCGGTTGGTAGCAGAAGCAGCATTAGCCAGTATACAGGGATAATAATTAGAATTCAGCACTTTTTCAAAGAATGTAAGCTCTTTTGTATTTCATACATAAAATTCAAATTGAGGGAATAAATTATTCTAGTTCGAACCATCGTCGCGAGTAGTCTTTAAATCTTTTTAAAAAATCTTCGAAGTCCATTCGAAATATAACTTATATATAAAGGATACCACTCATTGTTGCAGGGCACAGCCATTAGACAGTGGAATGTTCACCTCTTAGGGAGCATCCATAAATGACGTAGCATATTTTCGATCAATTTTAGACCCCTCCTCCCCCCCTCGTAGCGTATTTGGCTATATCCAATACATGGCCGGTCACAAATTCTGAGACCCCCACCTCCCCCCTCAAATGCTACGCCATTTATGCATCTTCCCTTATGACTTGATCAAGTACGATACCTGGTTGTATTCAATTTACCATTGTATGAAGGGCCAAAAACGTGATCTACTGGAGCAAAAAGAATCTCCTTCCAACGATAAAAATGTTCCAACCCGATACAGAACAAGCCATCATACGAAGGGATGTCCCAATGTGTGGGGAGAAGAACCCAACATCAATTCACAAAATGTTAATAACAGGGAGTTGGCAATTACACTCTCCCCATTCAAATCGCTTCAATCAAGCGCCCTGATAGTCCTATCCTTACCCAAGGAATTATGTAAAATATAAGAATATAATATAATTGCTGCCAACGGCGACAACCATGACGAAAAACAGGGAACTTGTAACATACCATTCGTCTAGGATATAACACCTTTGCTTGGCACCTCCACTGGATCTTCATGTCCACCATATGTCACTGTCTGCAAAAATATCAAATAGCAATTAGCTGTATGTGGCCGGTGCCGGTGTTGTAGTGATAAGCGTGACTGCTTTCTCACCCGAATGGGTCTGGATTCAATCCCAGCCGAGGTCGATGGGATTTTTTTGAGGCATAAAAATCTCTGGTCACGTCTTCCTTCGGAAGGGAAGTAAAGCCGTTGGTCCCGGCCCATGTGTGTTGAATGGATGCGATATCCTACGCAGGTGTGGAAGCTGCCTGCCTGCCGTCAATGGATGGCAATCGATGTCCGTCGGTGATTGGCACTAGATTGCGGAACAGAGACCGACGTTAAGTAAAGGAAATAAGAGAATTAGCTGTGATGTGATACTTCCTTCAACGAAAACTAATTTTCTTGCATTGTCATGGTCTAAAGTAGCTGGTCCACCGAGCACCCGCAATGAGCGGTCCTACAGATTAGTATGAGATGGTGTTATTTGCAAAGTGCGAAAAGAGAATGAAAGAAAAACGAAAGGGATTAGTTTTAAAAACCGACAGTTTCATCAGATTCCCCAGCTAACCATACTCAAGCATAGTATTGCGCATTTCACACCAAATTGGACTAATAAGCGCGTTTTCACTTAGTAAAAAGTGTGATAAAATTGCAAGTTCACGTCTAATCGTCTTGGTGTCTTGGGTGCACTTATTTCTTATGATCCAAGCAATAAGTGCTCCGAAGACATCAAAACGATTTGACGGAAACGTGCACTTTTTGCATTTTTGGGACAGTCCAGTTTCAAATGCAATCAACAATAAGTATATAAAAGCTATATTACGACTATGTGATTACTTGGGTACTCGTATGGCCGTCAGAATGGTTTATCAGTTGCGAAGTGAAGTATTTCTGAAAGTGATACGTTATATTTCTCAATGTTTTGATTTTATCCTAACATTACCTCAATATAGGCCTTTTTAATCAGCCCAGTGGCAGGCGCGTAGGCAACATGTTATACCATGACAGCGGGCCCAGCACAGCAAAATAAACGATTTGAGCCCGGGACATGCTGCCTACTGCACTAGTTTACAGCATTTTTGAACTCGGTAAGGTGATGATCATTTCCAATGCAAAATCCTACGCTGAATTCAATGCCGTGGTCAGAAAAAATTAAAGTAGAGCCATTTTTGAGATATACAAAAATTTTGATTTTTTGAATTTTGAAAAAAAAAAATTTGTAAAACACTTAAAAATGTTGCTGAAATACAACAGCTTTAGAGTTCCTTTTCTAGGTGTCGTTGTAAGCATCCAAATCGCATGTAAAGTTTTCATGGGAGATTCTTTTCTCTACATATCAATTTGATTAAGGCATATCAGGATTTAAAACCGAGTTGATACAAAAGAAATTTATTTAGGTTTTATTAAAAATGATTGAGAATCGAATGACTTTGTCTTCGATGTTTTGAACTTGTTTCTCGAATCAGAAACCAGCAATAGTCACCCATCATTGCTTCATCCCAAAACCCTTGGTAACGACGTTCCATCATCTTCATTTGTTGGTGAAAACGTTCGCCGTGCTCATCACTCTCGTCACCAAGATTTTCCGGGAAAAAATCCATGTGAGAATGTAGGAAATGTATCTTCAAAGACATATTCACACCTGTGTTCAGTGAAATAAAAGGATTTGAAATTAATGATATGTAACAAACACAATATTTTTGATTTATACCTATTTTCTCATAATTTTTGAGCAATTCATCGACGGCTTCCTCATAATCTGGGTTCTGAAATTTCCTAAAAAGGTTGTGACAACACGCTGGAACGATTTCCACGCTTCTTCCTCATCTGGTGTCAAAACTGTATTGAATGCGGAATCATTGAGCAGTTTTTTGATCTGTGGGCCAACAAATACACCTTCCTTTATCTTTGCGTCAGATAAATTTGGAAATACTGATTTCAAGTACTGGAATGCCGGCCCTTCTTTTTGCAACGCTTTGACGAAATTTTTGAATAGCCCAAGTTTTATATGTAGTGGTGGAAGTATTATGCGTTCTTTTACCACAAGAGGATCATTTTTAACGTTGTCTTTACCAATTGTGAAATTATCCCGTTTTGGCCAATCTTTTCGGACGTAGTGTTCCTTACGAGCTCGACTGTCCCATTTACACAAAAAACGCATATATTTTGTGTATCCCTGTTGCAATCCAGTCAACATGGCAACCACTTTAAGATCGGAACAAATTTTCCAATTGTGTTGATTGTAATTTATCAAATTGAGCAATAGAGCCATTGATTCATACGTTTCCTTCATATTAACGGCATGAGCTAATGGAATAGAGGGTTTCTCATTCCCTTGATGCAGTAAAACGGCTTTCAAGCTCAACTTGCTGCTATCGATGAATAAACGCCATTCAGCTGGATCATATGGCTCACCAAACTCTTCAAACAAGCCGTTTACGTCATGGCAAAAACATGCCTTGTCCTTTGTAGAATAATATTTGTCAAATTTCTTGTGACGATTCCTGTGACAAGAAATTTTGACCTCCTTGCTCAGCATGTTGTGTTCTTTCAAGCGTGATGCCAGCAATTCATATTTCTCCTTCGATAAGTCAAGATCTCGCACCAAATCATTAAATTCGGATTGTGTAAACAGTTTTGGGTTTCTTTCCAATTCCACCTCGAAGTCTTCCTCGCATTCCACCTTGAATTCCTCCTCACTTTTTGT